GGGCCGCCCCCAGCCCGGAGGGGCCGAGCGCGGAGCTGCGGTTGGCCGCGTCCTGGGCAGCCCCCGCCGGGCGCTCCCGCCGGGCCCCGGGTGCCCCTCGTGCCTGAGGGTGACCAGAGCGCGGCCACGGGTGCCCCAGACCATCGGGTGCCCTCTGACCATCGCTGCTGCCCCGAGCCGGGATGTGTCGTCCCGGACAGGCGGTCGTGGCCTCCGCCSGTGGCTGCGCGGTCACCATCGCCARCTGTGCGGTCACCGCCGGCTGCACCCTCACCACGGCGGGGTGTGCGGCCASTGCCAGCTGCCTGGTGACCACTGCAGCCTGTGCAGCCACCACCAGCCGTGCGGTTGCTACCGTCTTTGCGGTCAGTACGGGCTGTGTGGTCACCCCTGCCAGCCCTGGTCACCCCTGCCGGCCGTGCTGCCCTGGCTGGTGGGCAGAGGCTGCCGGCAGAGCCGCTCGCTGTCCCCAGGGAACAGAGCTCTGTGACCTTCCTGCTGGCTCCTCGCTCCACCCAGACAGACCTTTCCTCCCTGAAAAATGGAGCCTTTTTCTTTTTGCTGGTTTATGGTGAATTTCAAGGGCCTTTGGGAGGACAAAGTCCTCTTGTCAGYGCTGGTCTCTTGAAAGCTGACAGTCTCTCCCCAGGGACTTGGTGACAATTGCCCCATTATCGGCCTCGCTCGGACGGAGGCTGTCAGCGGCCCCGCTGCGTGGGACACAGCACGAGCACCGCCCCGTGCTCCGCACCGCAGGCCCTGCGGAAGCGTCGGGCTGCTCTTGCTGCTGCTGCGCTCGCTCCCAGCTCGCGGCTCTGCAGGAAACACTCCTGGTCTTTCCGGCAGCTCCAGATGCTTGTCCCAAGCTGCCTCTGGGCCACATTCGCTCCGGGTGGCGCAGGAGAGGCCATGGCCAGGGCTGCGCAGGCAGCGGCCGGTGCAGCCGCCCGCCCAGACCCTGTCCTGAGCCCTGACCCTGTCCTGAGCCCTGAGTGAGCGACCAGGAGGACAAGTGACCAAGTGAGCGACCAAGTGAGCAGCCGAGCAGGCAGCAAGTGACCAGGCGAGTGACCAAGCGAGTGGCGAGCGACCAAGCGAGCGGCCAAACCAGCAGCTGAGTGAGTGGCCAAGCGAGCAGCCAAGCGAGCAGCTGAGCAAGCAGCAGGCGACCAAGCGAGCGGCAAGTGCCCGAGTGGCCAAGTGACCGTGGGAGCGACCAAGTGACCACGCGAGCAGCCAAGCGAGATGTCGAGCGAGCCGCCCCGCACGGCCCTGCTCGCTGCCCGCCCCAGGAACGCGCACGGGACCCTTGCTTATAAAAGCACACAGGTTTATTGCATATCAATCTCATGTATAAATTCATTGTAGCATTGGAAAGATTACATTTGGTATACATTCCTATTCTACAGCATTAACCTCAAAATCAGCTTTTTCTATTCATTATTTTAAAGGAATTTCTCTACACAAGTACATTTGTCTTTTATCACAAGCATCAAAATGAAATTTGTAAAATCGCTTTTTTTAATTATTTTCTACACTCCATATCTTTTATTTCATTATGCTCCTGACAAAGCGATTTCATATTAATTAATAACTGCCATCACTTTTTCTTTTTTTTTAATTTTTATTTTCTTCCTTGGCAGTTCAAGGCTTCTAGCCCTGGATGCAAAATCTAATCACATATACAATAAGTGCATCTACGGAATTTTTTTCTTTTTAATAAAAATTTCACAAACAGACACAATAATGACTGCTAAACACAAGTCATGCACAGTTTACTTATAAACATAATAGAAGCAATATACAATCAAGAATGATATGGAACAAGCACCATCCTCTTTCTCAATGTTTTTTAAACATTATATGAAAACCACACATTTACAATTGATTTAAAAAAACACTATACAGTCCTAAAGGAAAACAAACAAAAAAAAAACTAAATCAAATCTGTATTGTAACAATGGGAAAAGGAATGACATAGGATGCACAGATTTATGATTCTTGCAAGCACAATATATATATGTTTTAAATTACATCTCTGCAGGCTGGAAATGACATCAGGGCAAAGCATCTCTTGCTTTGAAGAGAGCAACGAGAACGTAAARTACATTGAGAATCATCCTCAGAATTACTTTGTTCACATGTGAATTGCACATTTGGAAATCAAAGCTGCCTTAATTTTTTTTTATTTTTCTTTCTTTTTCATTCTTCTCTCCAAAGTGGTAATAAGAATCAATGACAGAAGAAAGAGGAAAAAAAATAACCTTGGAATCATTCAGTAACGGTTTAATCACAGTATCACTCGACTCGACGGGGAAGTGGCCGCGGGCTCGCGGAGGCCGCCGGCCTCGCGGAGGCAGCGGCGGCGCCCCGGGCTCCCCCCTGCCGCAGCCCCGGCCCCAGGCAGGGGGAAGCGGAGCCTCCTCCCAGCTCCGGGAACCGGAGCATCCTCCCGGCAGGAACCGGAGCATCCTCCCAAAGGGGCGAGCGCCTCGCTCCACGAGAGCRAACCACGAGCTGGGCGTCCGCTCTGAGCTGCAACGCGGTTCAAGTGCAATTGAAGGAGAGCTACGAGATAAATAGGAATTCGGAACGGCCGAAACGTGGGAAGATTCAACCCTGCAATCAGTGCTGGAGGAGTCGGGACCCCGCAGCGGCCTCGGCCCCTCGCGGGGGGGAAACCAGCCGCGCTGGGCAAGAGCAAGGAAGCGATTGCACCATCTCTGTGACTGTGCGGGGCAGGGCACGGGAGCTGCCCCGGGGCCTCCGCGGGGCCAGGGCTCTGCGCGGCCGCCAGCCCCGACTGCCCAGGCCCAGGGGGAGAGGCGCGAAGGCCAAGGCAGCAAAACCGGGGCCGCCCGGRCCGCGGCAGCAGGACTCACAGGATTGCGCGGGGTCGTTTGGCACATGGACACAACCTTCCTCCTCCCTGGTTCCCAATCATACACCACACAACCTTAATTACACCATTTTGGTCCTTCACTACATACTTATATTAACATTATTTCTTCACAATCATGATAGCTAATGCAAAAAAATACTGTTAAGGAAGAAATAAAATAAGAAAAGAATTAGCAAAAAATTACAAGTTATATACAGATTAAAATAAACTCCATCAGGAAAGGAGGCGATGCTGTGGTTGCTTGCGGCGGGCRCGGGGCCGCGCGCGGGGCGGCCGGGCGGCTCCGCTCTCTCGGACACTGCCCCTCGGGCTCGGCTGGGCCGGGAGCTCCGGGCGAGCCGGGCACAGCTGGGCTCACTGGAAACCGCCGGGGAAGGTCCGTTTTTCCTGGAGAAGGAATTGCTGCTGMTGATCTACCCTGTTCCCGATGTGCCCGAGCGCCGCGCTGCCCGTCTGCCCGGTGGCACTCGCTCGGCAGCTCCTGGACTCGTGTCCCCCACAGCCGCTCGGTGCCACCTTCGCTGCAGCCCCAGCTCCGCAGCCGCCGTCTCGCTGCTTGTGTGGCAGCCCAGGGCTGTGCATGCAGTGCAGGGGCTTCCGTGTGGCCACGCTGGGCATCAGCGCCCGCTGCAAGGGCTGCAGCGGCTGCAAGGGTTGTACCCGCTGCAAGCACTGCACCTGCTGCAAGTGCTGCGCCTGCTGCAAGCGCTGCGCTGTCTGTAAGTGCTTTTCCTGCTGCAAGTGCTGTACCCATGGCAAGTGCTGCATCTGCTGCAAGTGCTGTACCCGCTGCCAGAGCTGCGCCCAGCTCCAGCACTGAGCACCCAGAAAGGGGCGGGAAGCTCCTCGTGCCGCGTGCCTCGGGACACGGGCTCCGTCACTGCTGCTACCCGGCCTGTGAGCACAAGGAGGAAGAGCACAAGCAGCACCGCGTTTCTGGAGACTCCTCTGCATGGCTGGAAAAGGATGAGCCAGACGGGTCTAAACTGCCCCTATGGCCGGACCTGCCCCCGGCGCCTGCTCCCCACCCAGTACCCACGGGARCTCTCGCTGGGGCTCACAGCGGCGCGGCCGGCACAGGGCAGACGCTCCAAGCACGGCTTTTCCTGCGGCGCTCACGGCGCTCCGTGTTGCAGCAGCTGCCCGAGCTGGGAYGCTTGGAGGGCGCGGGCACGGACGGGAGGGCGCTCGGGGCCCAGCTGCGACCACGAGCCATGTCTGGAGGTGCTTCCAAGCCCGCAGCCCCTGGAGGCTCCTGGCTGGGATGCTGCGGGCAGCGCTGGCAGCCCTGCAGCGCGCGCCGGGCTCGGCGCCTCCGAGCAGCACGGAGCCGTGCCAGTACAGAGTGCCCGGCGCTTCCAGAGCTCGCTGAAAGGGGCCGCGTTTCCCCTCCTTGGTGGAACCCGGTGGCCGCGACAGAATTGCACCAGGGACAGGTCACAGCCTGCTCTGTGTTTTTCCTTAGTATTTCATTATTCGGCTGAATGGAAAGGGTAGGGAACCAAACGGTTTCAAGCTTTCGTTCATAGGCAAGCTCTACTGGCTCAGTGATACTGTCTGGTAAGGTGAAAGGGGCCAATATTTGATTGCACCGTTGCAATTCATGTCTTGTTTACGCTACTCTTCGAGATTGTGAAATCCTAGGGCTGCATCAGGGTTGTCCAGTTTTGGAGAGGTTCATTCTGATAAATTAGGAATGAGAACTGTGGATAGGTAAAAATTCAGGAGTTGTAGGTCGGATGCAACAGGTTTCTTTCCCAGCCAAAAGCCCAGGCGACTCCCTGAGGCCCTCTCATCCATCTTCCGCTTGCTAGGATTTTTGCTAGGACAATTGCAGCACCACCGCCTCCTCGCTTGGACTCTGGCCAGTGCCTTGGTGGCCTCTCAGAGGTGGTTGATGGGGTTAAAGGTCCCCGACTCTGAAGCTGCTCCTGCCATGTCCAACCAAGCACCCAGAGAGCTCTGGGAGGACGCGTGGAGGGGAGCGTTCTCAGACAGGGACAGCATCATTGCAAAAGCCTGCAGGGAGAGAGAGCAGCGCGGGGACAGGGTGAGCAGGCGCGCGGGAGCGGCCGCAGCCCGTGCCGCGCGGCCAGCGCTCGCCCTGGCACAGGGCGGGCAGCGCCAGGGGCCGGGCCGGGCCTCTCCCAGCGGGGCTAGGCTCAGGCTAGGCTCAGGCTCGTGCCTAAGGCCGCAGCGCCCGGCGCCGCGCAGGAGCCGCCCGCACATGCGGCTGCCCAGGCGCCGGCCTCTGCGCCCGGGAGGAGGCGGCAGCGTGCCGGACGCCACGCGCTGCCCGTGCGATGTTTATAGGGAAGTTCGAGTGCATTATATAGCATAGAGACCAGCAAGCGGTCAGCGGAGGGCAGGGCCCCATCACCTGCCGCAGAACTGGCACGGCAGCATCCAAAGTACCCGGAGCCCAAGGGCGGGTGCTGCAGCAGACTGGGCACGAGCCTGCGGGGAACCGGGAGCCTGCACGGGGATATCTAAGAGCCCCAAAATGCTCCCTGGTATTGCCAGTGTGATCAAACACTCTTGCTTGCACAGTTCTATCACTGCAGTGAAACAGCTAACAATGTCTGCCCAAAAATTCATTGAGATTGTGATTTCATTAATCTGCTTGCTTCTTTGCAACCTAGATGTTCTCCCTCTTCCGAACTGCTTATCTTGGGCATCCTTTACATCCTTCCGCAGCACGCAGCYGATAACTTCACGTGCAAAAGTCAATGAAACGGCAGCCTGTGGTCCAAACGGGATCCCGGAGTCCCGCTCCCTGCTCAGCAGCAGCCTCTGCAGCGCCTGCTCCGGTGCAGTGGTTAAATCGTGGCCCCCACCCGCTCTCACCTTCTGCAGGGCAGGAGACAAAGGCTGCTCCGCTAACCGGTCGCCCGGCTTTAGCCTCTCCCCTCCAAAGCTGAATCAGATCTGCTTGTCGAGTCCACTSCCTTGCCTACCGTAGGTGTGTGCTGAAAGGGGGACAGCTTACAGACATGCCCCTGTCTAAAACAGCCCCAGGAAATGCCACAAAGGAGGGCTGTGCTGGCCACCTGAACGCTGCTTTATTTTGTAGGCCCTGGGTAAGAGATTGCTCGAATCATTCAAGGTATTTATTATCATTTAACTGCAACCAGGCTATTGGTTCTGAAAATAYACACACTTAAATAAAATACTCCCCCTTTCCATGAAAAAAGTAAGGATAGGCTAAAATCAACAATGCAGAACAGATTTTAAAAGAGCAAGCTGTTCCTGAATAGTTAGTACRGTTGGTATATTAGTAACAGGACACATAAAAGAATCAGGCAAGTGGCTTGTGTTTAAAATAGTTTCAGGAGGAAAGAAGCCTTGTGCTACCTTCCCTTCCCCACATTCAGTACCATAGGACAAGAATTTTCCAAGTTGGGGCTACCTTTCATCAGAAATCATGTTCTGCTTGTCAGCTGCTTTAAACTGCTGCCTCGCTGCACATTTAAAATAGATTTCATGACCAATTCTGTTGCTTGAAGGCTGCAAAGGGACTCCAAGGCAACAGCTCTACTCATCCCCAGTGTCAAATGTGGTCAAACCTCTGCTAACGTCTGAGCTGCCTACTTCTTCCCAAACAGCAGCAAGGGTAATTAACGGGGAAATGCTGCCAGTTTTTGCTGGAATGCTTTCCTGTTGTTTGTCAGACTGGCACTTTCCACCCCATCTGCTTTAGGCCACTTCAGGTAGCTGAGTTAGGTACTAACGGTACCCTGAAAGCAGAAGCCCAGGTCCCCTGTGTAGCCAGTAATGATGGTTGGGACTCAGGGCACCTTCTCAGGGGCTTGAAGTTTAAGCTGGAAGGTTTCACTCTGATCTCTCTTGTCCAGTCTGGCGATGCAACTTCATTGAACAGTTCCTTCATGAGAGTGCTTTCATACAGACCAGGACTTGAACTTCACCATCTGAAGATGGAGYGTTTTTGCTTAATGAAAAAGCAGAAGGCACTAACAGGTCTAGCCAGCACCTCCAGATTTTTCTCCAAACTCCAGGAGATGCTGAGATGTCTTTTTGACATGTCTTGGGAGGTCTGAGCCGATCTAGCTGTCAAGGCAGAATTTTATTCCATAGATTTTATAGATAACAACGCTTACGCAGACAGCTAGAACCAGACAGATGCTGCTGTCCCTACACAGCAGGTTCTCAGAACACAGGCTTAGTGAGAACCTGAGCTGGTGGCCTGAGATTCGGCTGCACTCACCACGTCTGCCGCCAGTAAGCTGCAGCAAGGCACGGCTCACACCAGATGCACTCACAGCAGTGAGAGCTCAGCTCCAGCAAGACAAACCCTCAGCTGAAGGAGGCCAGCAGCCTGCCAGTCCTACAGTGCGTGCYGGCGGCAAGCTAGAGAAAACGTTCTGTCAGATACCCACCTGGTTTTTAGCCTGCCTGTACAGAGTCTGTTTTATTGTCTCAGAGTCTAAGGTGGAATTAAACACATCCTTAACTTCAAATGCTTCCTCGGCTGCTTTGCGAAGATCCAGCCCCTTCCCAAAATGCGGCATCTGCTCCAAATCTAACAAGCCGGCTTCGTCCTCCTCAATACACCTGTACCAATGACCAGGGGAAGGGGTTGACCTCTTGTTAGCTCATCTCACCGTTCACAATCTACTAACGTGAGTGTTGCTAGCTCAGCGCCTGCATGCACATACCATGGGGGTCTCACAAGCCACATGCGTGAAACAACACACGGACAAACACGGAAATGACACAAAAAAGCAAGAGTAAGGACAAAGCGGAGGGTGTGATTATGGACATACAAGCACTAGAGTTGTAGATGCTGCCGTTCAGCGTGGTTACAATTCACTTTGCACTTCTGAGGGGAGATGTCCCAGTGCTGTCCACTCCTTGAAAGGTCTGGCACTCGACTAAACTCTAAAGCAAGCTGCTGTACTACATTCTCTTTGAGTTGCAAGGAACGTCGTGATGCACTGGGACGAGGCAGAGCACTTCTATGCATCATGAACACTTGCTGTGAATGTTAGTTGGAAAACTGAGGCAAAAGGGGAGCCTAAGCCTATACTATGAGCAATAAATTTGAATCATCTTTAGACACRGCAGTTGTTTTCCCCAGGGCTCTAAGAATCCCCTTGAAGACAACCCCATTTTACTACAGCTAAAATGCGTAGAGGGGTACCTAACAGATTGCATACATACAGCCCTCCTTTCTTCCTGTCCTGTGTTTTGGAGACAAAACACCTGCTCTGCTGACTGGTAGTACTCTGAAAGAGCTGATKCCTATTTTGCACTAAGTGCTCTCCTGACACAAACTTTTCAAGTCTTGGATGTACATTTTATCACAGCTTGTTGTGCAGTCCAAGTCTTTTTGTATCCCCCACCATAGTGAAAATGGAATCTCTCAAGTGAACACTTAAATCGAACGGGAGGTATGGTACATGGGTTGGAAAATAAAAGAATAGCACTCACAATCCACCATGGACACAGTAAAAAGTCAGAGCCCTATGTGACTTCTCAAAGGAAAGGGCCCACCTCACCTTCGGGTGTGGTCAAAGCTCATGGTGAGAGATGTGGGTTCTTCCTCCTCCTCATCCTCAAATGCTCCTCGGGGCTCTGTGGTGGGTGATACTGTTTCATCCTGGGACTTCCCTGTCAGGCTGTCATCATCTTCCTCTTCCAATTCCTCATCTTCATCATCCACATCTTCTGTTTTCTCATTTGCTAATCCATGACACTGGGAATTGCCATCAATATCCTGGATTTCTGGTCTGAAGTATCAGGTCAAAGCGGAATTAAAAAAAAAAAAAAGAGAGGGGGGAGATGCCAAGTGAGTGAAGTCAAACATTTCCACTGCAGGGCAAAGCTTAGTTCATTTGGCACATGTGCATATATACATGCATACAGACACATTTATATGCACGTGTATATCTCATTTAAACAGTAAGGAGAAGGAAAATGGGTGTTTTTTAGCCAGTTAAAAATTAGCCTTTGCCATGTCTAAGGACCAACGCTCATGTTAAGTATATACAACCCAAATGCCTTTCAAGCTAGAATTTTGTCTAGTCTGGATTTAAGCAATGCATTTTCTTCTCTTAAAATACAACCTCTACGGGACAAAGAGCTTTTCTTTCTCTCTGCCCGACCACATTCCAGCAAGCTGCCTGCAACCAGGCAGGATGCRGAAGCTTCCTCGTGAGGAACCACCAGCCGGTCCCAATTCTCTCTTGCATCACTTTTCCTGGTCACACCTATCTGCACCTAATGCTTTCTAGGAGGCAGGTGGCTTTAAATTAGGGCAAGAGGAGGAAATGTGGTCACCAGTGTTACAGACGWCAAAGAGAGTAGGATGCCACCAGGCGGCATAAGCCAAGCTTAACATCGTCACCACTTTGCATGTCAGCACATCTCAGCATCTTACTTTTCCTTTGGTGGACTGCATCATTCTGAGAATTTCTCCTACTTGTGTTTTAGACTTAACCCTTAGTATTGGCATTCAATAGCTACTTGTGAAAACAAGAGAGCAGCAGAAATGTATTTACAGCCAGTCCCAGAACAAAGTGACATTTGTACAACCCAGAATAACCCACTGGGTTCATGGGCAGATAAAATATCACTGCGTCAAAATAAGGTTTAAAAAATGAAGGGGACACTCAGACGTTTCCCAAGCCCTGGATCTTGCCACTTCCTCTAAGTACTTCAGCAATGGGTTTGTTTTGCAGAACGGTGCTAGATCTTTTAAGGTAAAAGTCTGTAGCATCTTCTCCCCTGGAARAATTTCCCCAGCCTGCTGAGAGTTCCTCTCCTTGCATGTTTTTTTTCACTCTGTATCAAGCAATGTCAAGAGATTCCCAATTTCCCCCAGGAAATTCCAGCAAACCCTTAGTTCTCATCATCCCCCTTGTTTTGCTCCAAGCACACAGTCTAAACAAGAACTCTGGTGAGGAGTCAGTCTATGAGATAATTCTGTTTTCGCATCCAGCAAATGAAATGAAGACTGTGAAACTGGAAAGGACACGGAGATTCTGTCTAAATTTAGCACTTTTACAAGCACTCAGGGAAAAGCCAAGCCTTGTATTCCCCGCAGGCAATTCCAGAAGGATATTGCTGGCAGCAACAGCAGCAGCACTGGCAAGGCAGGATCTCTGCATGTGCATCACGGTCCCATCTGACATCTGCCTGACCTGCACATTTCTAAATGCGATGAAACCTCCCGGGCCCRTGCACTGTGGACAGAACAAGAGGCTCCTTGGGAAGCTTTCCCAGAAATATGACGAGATTCGAGAGCCTTGAGAGCCAGAGAGCCTGGTCCCTGGAGAGGGAGCAGCAGCACAGGCAGGTGCAGCCCCTCGTCCCATGCTCATCTCAGCACACCGACCGGCTCAAAGGCATCCAGAAGYCCAGGGCCCTGGGGTTTATCCCACGTTCTTGTTTGCCAAAAGGCACAGTTTGCTCTCTGCCCAGCTGCAGGGACAGATTTGAAATGAACTGATAGACTAAAAGATCAGGTGTCTCTGTTCTCCTTAATCGGGAGCCTCTGTGCACCATGGAACAGGCCGCATGGTTTTATTGTGGGAGTGTTCAATGATGACACTATTAGTGTCACTAATAGTGTGACACTATTTCTTCACATAGCAAAGAAAGCAAGTTTTCTTTGTRCCCTCACATGGGAGCTCCCTGCCTGCTGAGAGCTTCAGGCTGAATGCACTTTCCAAACTGAGCACTTTCTCCTGAGCATATGGAATCAAGGCCAAAAGGACAGAGGATGATTGGAGTTTCAGCCATGTTACCCATGCATGTTATGAGATAAATTCATTTATTTGTTTACCTTTTATCTGTTAGGGTTGATGCTTGATTCATCTCACTATTTGCAATAAAATTTCTTATTTCAGAGAAATACGAATCCTCTTTTTCATCTAAAAGTGCATGGTTGTCTGACTCCGAGTTTGGGGAAGAGGCACTGGTCCCAAGGTGGTTTGTGATGACTCCAGAGTGCTGGCTCACTGACGCGGGAGGCAAGAAAAGAGAAGAGACAGAAGAAACAGTCACATATTGCCAGAGCTATTGTGAAGGGTAAAAACAGAATATTGTGCAATAATCCCAACAGTTCACATTAAGAATTCAATAGTTACAGAAATGCCAGAGCCATTGGCTACCTGGAACGTTCTCGTGTTCGTGCTTCTTAAGGTGCCGGTCCAGGTTGGTCTGCTGCCCGAAGCATCGGTTACACAGGTGACATTTAAATGGCTTCTCCTTGTTATGGATGTTGCGAACGTGCCGCTGCAGGTTGGAGGAAATGCTGAACGACCTGTCACAGTACTTACACCTGAAAAATAGGAGCAGGTGCCAATGAGCATAATGTGAGAGAAAACGAAAGAAACAAACAAAAAAATCACACACACAAAAATCTGACTACCAGGAAACATTGGTCTATAAATCTTTACTCAACTCAGGACCTGGAAAGCATGAGGCATTAATCACTCCAGACAAATCTGATATTGTTGTTATTCAAAGAGCACAAAGAAAGGATACGAATTAATTAAGAAGTGAGCTGTCCAAACAAGTAAGAATTTAAAATAATGACTTTTCCAGACAGAAATGTAAAAACATGAAAGGGGAATTTGTTTTGAATGGGAGGCACGGGGAAGCGGCAGGAGGACGGGGGACGCGAGAGGGGACCCCACACATCCCACCCCGCCAGTGTATCCCACCTGACACCTGCGTGGAGAGGCACAAAACCCAACATCTCCCCGTGGGAGTCGGGACCTAGGTGAGATGGGGCACTAGAGCATATGTGGAAGGTCGCCCGGGTTATCTCGGCAGAACTGCAGCTCCTGAGAGAGGCAGCACAGCCTCCAGAGCGTGAGATTTGCCCCGGGAGTGAGCATCGGCTTCGGGGAGAGGACGAAGGCCCGGGAAACGCTCCTGGCTGGAGGCTGGGCTCTCGGCGGAGCGCGTGTGAGGCCCGCTGCTCTCCCTGGACTCCCTTCCTCAGCCCCAGCCTCTGCCACGCGCCAACACGGCGGGCCCGGGCCTGCTGCAGCTCTGGAGCGGAGCGGGAGTGCAGCGAGCGGACTGAAGAGGGCAGCTTCGGGCCGCCAGCACGAGCGGCCGCGGGCTGCATGGAGCTGCATCCCTCTCGGCTCCGCACGCATCCCTCATTAGCGCTCCAAACACGTCACTTGTGTCACAGCAAAGCTGCTTCCCTCATGGTTCCAGGGCCCAAACGCACGAGCAGAGCTCCAGCCCTCCTTCCACCGCACGTCTTTGCAACTCCTGCGCACGCGGGGCCGACGTCAACCCCGCTCGAGCCGCCCCAGCTCAGAGCAAGGGCACTCAGGGCAGCAGCTCTGCTCTGTGCTGCTGCAACTGAGAGCAAAGCTCGCCTCAGCTACGACACTTATCAGCCTTAAAGATGCTGGGGCAATTTGAGGACATTTTAGGAGCACAGAGCTCGACCTCGTGCTCGAGCCCTTGCAGACGGACCCCAGGCTGGGCTTGACATCAAGGGCATGATGCTGCCTGCTACAAACTCAGAGCATTCACAGGGGGAAAGGAGGTGCCAGTGTAAGAAGTCTACTCTGTGAAACACAAGCACAATTTCCAGATGTGCTACAGCTGTGGTTTTGATTCCATCTCTAAAAATAGATTGATATTATTTTTGGAAATAGCAGAGATAAACTTTCCCTCTCCATGTTTATAGATTCCATGTCCATTTCCAAATTTCCTACTGTTAAACCACAGAAAAGAATTAAGATGTTTCATACCATGTAACTTTATTATGATCACCCTAAAAAGCAAGCAAAAATCTCTTGGTAAACCACAGCTCCTTCAGCCTTTAATTCTAATCCAGAAAATGAATCACACAGGGAAATAAGACAAGCGGCTATGTGAACGCAGCCGGTGCACGCGCTAGCAGCGGCAGGACGGGACGTCCGGAGCCGCCCGGCCCCGGCTGCTCCTATTGCTGACAGCCCAAGGGGCCGGAGCTGCTCCACGGCTCGGAGCACCCGCTGCTCCACGGGCTCCCGCGTGCCGCCGCCTCTGGATGCTCAGGAAGCCTTTGGAAAGCTCCTCTTGACAGGCCCTTGCTCAGACTATYGGCTACGTGGATCCAGGTTGAGAGGCAGAGAAAGCACAAGGAGCTTGTTAGAAAAATAGGGAACAGGGGCATTCGGAAGGAGCAATATCTAAGGTCTGAAGGTAAAGGGACGAGGGAGCCGTACGGCATTATTTGTGGTCCCAGAGGGGTCAGTACTTGGATCTCTGTTGGTTTTAATCTAAATATATGACCTAGGTAGAAAAATCAACTGTAAAACCAGGGAAGAGGAGACCAKGGAGGCAGCAGGAAAGTGAAACACAAAAGCAGCTCTGTTTGCTTTGTAAACACTCTGACAAAACGCTGCTGAAATTTGCTGCTCATCAGTTTGGAGTAACACAGCAACGGGCTAAATAAACACAAAGCAGGAGGGAATGACAGTGCACAACAAGCCCAGACCAGGACACTTGGAGGAGCAGCTCAGCCACACAGCAGGCTGTCCTGGGACCTTGAGGGAATCCAGACACTCAATCCAGTAACTACCAAAAGGGAAAAATAGAGAGGAAAAAAAAAAAAAAGGGAAACAGAACTGTAACTGAGCTCATCACCATAAGACAATACAATTTAGTAAGATTTCCAATGAAACTGTCACGTCCCACACCCTCAGTGGAGTCCCACTAGCGTGGCTGCTCTTGCAAACCTCACACTCCTCAGAGATCAGACGACGGGAGCTGTAAAGACGGAACTGCAGCAACAAACCATAAAACACCCGGATTGCTTCTCTTCCTTTAAGTGGTTGCTTAATCTCAAGTGCAGTTACACCAGGCGCGAATTTAGCTCACAGTTTTAGAAAGAAAACAAGAAAGAGGTTTTCCCTGGGCAATCTTGCAGGACATGGTAAATGTCAGCTCTAGCTGTTAGTTTCAGCTTAATGCAGATAACAGGACGTGGGGGCTGAAAAGGAAATTAAAGAAAAACAAATTCAAAACAGACGTCAGGAAGCCCATCTTTCTAGACGGAATTGCAGCCTCAGAGGCAATGCTGCAGGATTGGGTGTAATTCAAGAATCAATTAGATGGCATCCTGGAGGGAATGGGCATTTAAAAGAAGAAAATTAAGTCTGGTTGAATCAAATAGCTTTCACTTGTTCTCAGGTTTTGTGTAGTTCCAAAGAATGAAAACCAAAAATAAAAATCAAACCCACGACTACAATACACCCTTATGTTCATGGCTTGGAGCATAGGAGCTCCATTAACCTCTTTGGGATTTTGCTTCACACTCTCAGAAGGACAAGTCCTACTTTTTTTACTGCCTCAGCTGTCAAAGCAGGCTGACATTATTTCACAACAAGCCCGCCTCATTTTGCATTTCTCTGAAAGAAATGAAAATAGTTAAGTTTGATAGACCTTGCTACTAGAGGGTTTGAAATACATACTGCTGGATTATAGACCCAGCACAAAAAAGAATAGTGCAAAGAAAGAATTCTGCCTGATTCCACCCCATGATACGCTGCACTCAAGTCATTTCAAATCAGCTTGTTCAAATCACATCACCAGGTACATCTCAGGCACCAAAACACCCAGCACTTTCCTTCTCAAAGATAACTCCTTAACCCCCATCCTGCCTATGTGCTATTTATCCCTGCCAATTAGTGACAATTAGGAATCAAATGGAAAGCACCTGATTTTCTCATATGCGTGTCTCTACCTACATGTTGACATTGGATTTGTTTGCATAGGTTTATGAACACTTTTAGTTCATTTTTGGATGAACTTTCACACTAACAGAGTCAACAGAAAAAATATTCAAACAATCAAAGGAAAAATTACAAGAAAACAACAATCAAACACTGAAAAATCAGCAATCTGCTTATACCTGAATAAAGTCAGGACGTACAAAACAGGCTTTCAAAACAATTATCACTGATAAAGTTGGAAATCTCAGTTCTCAAAGAGCAGAAGAAAATCAATGATAATTAAACTCTTCTGTAAATGCAGTACTAACTCTCAGGAGGGCTATTATAATGCGACATTGTCCAGAAGTCAAACCTCCGTTACAAAAAAAACACACAGGCAGTTTTCTGGGAGAAGACCAGATCAAATAAATCTTTATTTTTCTAACCTTTGTTAAGTTGCAAGTCTCCTTTTTTGGAAGAAAACTGGACTAATACCCTCTGAATAATCGGGAGCATGCATTATGGTCAGACAGGGGTGTATAGCGAATGCACAGTGCTCATTCAGGTCCTATCAAATAATGCAAGTGAAAAATTAGAAGCTCGGGGAATGGTTCCAAAATATATGTCTGTTTGGGGGATTTTTTTTTTAAAGTTTACCTAATGTCTACAGTCAGAATTTGACTCCGTATGGGAAAAAAAAAAAAAAAGAAAGAAAGAAAAAACATGACTTTACGTACTAGGGATTTAAATGTGGGAGAAAGTAGCTTCTTAATTTAAACTGGGCATAAAAATTTCATAGATTTGACCAGCTGGCCTTTTGCTGCTCATAAATTTGTGTTTCTCCTTATATAATAACTATTACATATTAGCTTTGTTGTGAGCTTATGTCTGTGTACAGAAATACCATAATACTAGCTACCAAAAATGCAATTGCTTGACTTGTTACTATTGTTTGACATTGTACAAAACACTTCTCCGTATTATGGAAAACACCGTGTCTGATTTTCAGTGAGGTCTCAATATATCATTCATTCAATTTGTCTTACGTAGGTACCTATTCTAGAAAGAAATGAGGCAAAGCATTTTTGCTGAAGTTTTTTTGAAACTGACTGGAAACCAAAAAGAAAAAATAGCAGACTCGAAAATACCCGTTTTGTCTTCAATGAAAAATGTTTCTCTGAATATACGTAGCTACCCTGCCATATTTTCTCATGAGTTTTATGGCAATTTAAAGCACTTGCTTTTACAGAAGCCCCTTTATGGGAATCCATGGTTCTCGAGCGGGGGCCGCACGCAGGGTTTTGTCTGGAGGGAGGGACAAGCTGCTTTGGTGTCCGTCTGTGTCCACACAAGCACAAGTGAACCCCCAGATGTGACCTCTGCATTCCCACAATCATAGAAGACAGCAGGACAGGCCCTCAGCTTTAGCATCCGAGCTGATTCTCCTTGCTCCGATCCCCCTTCTAAGCTCTGCCATGTGATGAGCTCCCCAGTTTAGATTTTAAAACCAATGCATGACAGGGCTTCTTTAATCCCTTACTCCAGAGGCTTCTGATGTGCATTAGGAAAAGAAAAAAGGATCCAGCTAGACGCAGCAGTTAATTCACTGGCAAGCCCTTCAAACAGCCCCATTTTCAGAGACATTCAGCACCTTCAGCTGTCCTTGAGATGAATGGTTAACGTGAGTGTTAAACAACACCGAAAATCAGACCACTCATTCGCCAGCATACATCTAAATATAAGCTAAGTGTCTCTCTGGAAGCTGCCAAGTCTGATTATTTTTGGCTGGTACACACAATATACAATCCTCTGAATCATTACATGTAATGCTACAGGATTGCAGTGCTTTGTTGGCACAACTTTACAGAGAGCAATAAACCAACAGAGCGGCGAGTGAGCAGGGGCAGCACTCCTGGGGCAGTCAGCGGGGGACAACCTCACCTGTAGGGCTGCTCGCCAGTGTGTGTCCGCAGGTGCCGGGTCAGGTTGGCCGAGCGCGGGAAGATCTTTCCGCAGTACCTGGGAAGCGAAAGGCAGAGGAGCCGTCAGTCCTGCCGCGGAAGAGCGTCCGCACGCGCTGCAGCGCCCGGTGCTCGGCCCTCCTCACCCASCCGGGCACCGTGCCCCACATGAGCAAAGCGCTTTGTGCGGTGGCAGCCGCGGAGGCAGCGGAGGGCAGATGTGGAGATAACAAGGGACAGAATGACATCCCTCCCGGCGTGCCGGGAGCCATGCGGTGCGGCCCGGGCCATCCCTGGGCACCACAGGGCACTGCTGCAACACGGTAAGAGGGGGGAAAGGAGAAATACAGCCCATCAGAAGAATGGTTCACTCAGACCAAAAGTCTGCCTGACTTTTAGTAGCTTATCCTGGAGGCATAAGAAGTGCCGGGGAATGCAGTAATAGTGAGGTGATGCATCCCCAATATATCTCCCAGTTCTCAATAAAATGAAGCTAAAGATCCTCCTGGACTAACAATGAATCTTTGTGCTCAGCGACCTTTGGCTAAGCTTCTTCCATCTATTTTTCTAGGTGGCTTTTGAATGCACCTCATTCTTGCATCAGGTTGAATAGTGTCTAATCACTGCCTGTTCATGTTCTCCCTCTCTTGAGATGTTTATAGACCTCTGATATTCCTAGCCAGTCACTTATCGTCCATAAGCGACTTGATCACCCTTCTTACAATTTGTAGTGCTTTCTTCTGGACAAATGCTGCAGCACTGCATTGCTGTTATCAGCATGTGCTGCCTTGAGTCTGAAGGTCTGTTTAGAATAAGGAAATGTATCAGCAGAATAAGAGGGGAACTCCGTTCCATAAGAAATACCAATTTGGAGGTAAGACTTCATAAGCAGATACAGGTTTTAACCATCTGGGAGATATGCCCTGATATGAAGTTTTATAGCTGCAGCAGATAAACAAGTATTTCTGTGGAGACAACTGTGCTTGAAATACTGGTTAACAGTTAACCAGTTAACTGTTAACTGGTTAACTGAAACACTGGTTAGCTGTTCTTAAAGCCGCYGTTTTGCACAGCTGAGACGGCAATGCACTTGCACTGGAAACCGTGGCCTTTGCTACCACACACACAAGGCTTGGCTTGAAAGACCAGTTGGCTTGAGAATCTCCAGATCTGCTCCCAAGGCTATTAAAAAATACAAAGAAAATAGAAGATGTTGACTTCCCCCCAGACAAAACAAGCTATTTCCGAGTGAATTAGTCATCAGCAAGCTCTGTCCTGGCTCTCTGGCTGCTTGTTTCTGCCCGCGCGCTGGCGGGGCGCCGCTCCGCTCCAGCCCTACCTGCACGTGTAGCGCTCCTTGCCCTTGCGCAGGATGGGGTCGGAGAGCGTGGGCGGCGGCGATCGGAAGGTGAAGGGGTGATGCGGCAGGGGCTGCAGGGCCGCGCCGCCCTCCGCCTTCATGGCCGCGAAGCTCTCCAGCTTCTCCGTCATCGTCTCTATGGCTGACATCTGGCAGCACAGGGAGAGGGCGCGCGTCACAACGCGCGGGACAGGAGCAGCGGTGCCCCGGGCACGGCGCGGCCCGGCTGCGCGCGCCTGCTGCTCCCAGCCATCCGCATCCCCGCGCTCAGATCTCTCCCTGCAGCTGGCAGGACAGCGAGAAGCTCCCGGGCTAAGGGAAACCCGGTAAAACGAGCCGGCAAAGCCAAGCACTGAGCACCAGGCCCGGGCGGCCCCGCTGCAGGGCGAGGCCGGAGCGCAGAGGCCGCACGGCGCTAGACCAAGCCGGGATGCTCGGCTGGCACCAAGGGCTGACCGCCTGCATGCTTGCACTTTACCAAACAGGGCTTCYGGGGGAGGAGAGAGCCAAGACACTGTTTAAAGTGTATGACTATAAAAATTTGCCTTCATAGAAATTAATCTGAGTTTGTTACTAATTTTATAAATTCTTATAGACATATAAAATATGTAAAAATACATTAAATAAATATAAAATAAAAATATTAATATAAAATGTTAATATAAAATGTTAATACAGAAATATTTACATAGTAATATTTATTAATAATTAATTTATACTTTTATCTATGAATAGACTTAATATATAAATATTTATTTATMTATTTATTTATATATTAAGTATATGAATAAATATTTATATATTAAGTCTATTCATAGATAAAAAGTAGTCTAAATGGTGGATGGTGACAGCCATTCATGAGCCATAAGAAAGAGGAGCAAACCCCGCTCCGCATTAATAAACGCCCGGTCCCTTGTGGGGAGGCTCCTGGGCGCTGCTAAGCAGCCAGCCCGGTGAGCCGGGGCTCTGCGGTGCAGYGCGGCCCCGCGGCCAGCCCCGTCCCACGGCTTTGCTCCCGGGCTGGCGGGCGGACCCGCGCGCTCCGCACACAAATGCAGGATGTGGCGGGCCCGGCYGCGCCGCCCACAGCCAGCGCCGGGCAAAATCGTGGGAAGTTGTTAGCCAAGCTCCGGGGCCGGCGCTGAACAATGGAGGAACTAAGTTTAGCCGGGAAAGGCGCTGGCACGCAGCTCCCACAGAGCTGCCCTACGCAGGGCTGGGAAGCACCGTGGGCCGGCAGTGCGGCCGGGCCGCGGCAGGGAGCCCCGCGCGGGCTGCATTCCGGGGGCCGCGGCAGCGGGGCCGGCCACGCACGGCACGGCCGGAGCCGCCGACGCGGCCACCAGCCCGGCACAGCAGCGGGAGCTGCTGCTGCGGCCGTCTTGCCTGCGCTCCTGCTCCCATTCCAGCTGGGAACGCTGCCCAGCAGCCTTTCCCACCGCTCTGCCGCAGCCCGGACCTGACGGCGACGCAGCGGGAGCAAAACTCCCCAGGCTGGCAGGAGCTCTGCAAGGCAGGAGACACCATGTTCACCTTTCTACATGGTGGAAAGGGGCAGGAAAGTCCAAGGCAGGGCTCTAGTTTGCACACCCACAACTCGACCTTCCCGCATTCAACCACACCTTGCATTAAAACTTCACTGCTTTACCTGGGGGTGAAAAAGCAGCGGGGAGGGTCGCAGGTACTTCTCCTTTAGGGCCCCCACAGGGTCAGTCACCTTCCGCTTCTCCACCCTGCTGGACAACAACACAGAGGGTTACATACCTCACAGGCTATATACAGACCTCACAGGTTGTACACCGACCTCATGGGTTATATACAGACCTAGCTTATACTGCAGCCTCACGAGGTATACACCGACCTTGCAGGTTATATACTGACCTCTCAGGTTATATACAGACCTCACGGGTTATATACTGACCTCACAGGTGAGGAGCTGATGGGAGATTGCAAAGTGACTTAGGTGTATACGAGTTCCTCCAGTGTCACTCAGCACTGCTATAGATCCCACACTTGTCCACCTTACTGTGGACAAATAATTCTAAATTTAGGCCCCTATTTTTGAAAATATTGTCTTGCTTTCACAAAGTTTTCTACTTGCAGGGGAACCATGGSAAGGAACCACTGAGGGTGAGAAACTGCACTGTCCTCTCAGAAAAGGTGTCACAAAAATAATCCCAGTAAACTCAGCAGCATCTCTGAATTACTGGAAGAGACTCTGTCTCATCTTACCTGTAGAAACCCAATAGTAAGAGTAATTTTAACTACATTAGTGCAGAGTAAATGAGAGCAAATCATTTTGCTGCATTTCAGTTGATTGGTGTGTGGATCAAATTACGAAAGGAGTTTAAAGAAAGAGTCCTGCCGAGTGCTATTTAGTGAACTGTACTTAATCTGCATTTAATTCTCCTCAGCAGAGGAGAAAAAAAGACCTGGATCTGAAATGCAGTCGTAATTATTGTGCTTTKRWRGGCAYGTGCTTTTATGGGCACGCACTTTCAAAAAAGCCCACGTGTGAAACTAAGCTTGCCCCGGACACAGGGTGCGAGCGCAGGGAGCGACGCACGAGGCTCCGCGCCCCGTGACGCGCTCCGAGGCTGGCGCTGCCCCATGCAGCAGCATCCCTGGCACTGCTGCAGCTTCACCAGCCTCCTYGTGCTCCGGAGGGGAGGATCCATCCATGCGGGACACGCGGGAGAGCAGGGSAATGCGCTGAGCGCCTCGTCAGAACTGAGCTCCGCGCTGATCAGGGGCTCACRAGGATCTTGTCAGCCCAGGGCCTGAGAACGTTACCTTAATAAGCTAAAAACTGCACTGATTTCAGGCTGTCTGGCTGCATTAAATTATATCACCGGGAGAAAATGTCAAGGATTTAAGTGGCCTTTGGGAGAAAAATGAAGGAGCCAAATGATGTGAGAGAGTCTGATAAAGAGAAGTTTAGAAACAAAATATTTCCATATTTTTTAAGCTGGGACTTGGAAGCTCTGCTGTTTGGTCCATTACATCAGAAGGCTGATTTGCAAGAGATTCCACCACTGACTTTCTATTTTAATGCATTACTAAAACTATATGCACCCCATGGAATGCAGCAAGCGATGCCCTCCTCCTTCACTTCCATCTGTCTCCTAGACCTTTATGGTTTTCCCGAGGCTGCTATTTTAACTGGCAGCTGCTTTTGCTGCCCATGTTATTCTAACATCGCTGCTGAGAATGCCCAGAGGTGGCAGAATCCTACCTCCAAGCTCTTGCCTCTCCATCCCCTTTATTTATTTCTTCCCAGAAGTGCTTTTTCTACAGAAATAACACATCATTCCGTGTGTTTCCAGGGGACGGGGACGGCAACGGCCGGCGCGCAGGACCTATTCCACGCCGCAGGCCGTGGTGCAGCCGTTTCCATCCCGGACAGCAGGCAGGGCAGCGGGCAGAGCGGCGGCAGYGCCGGGAGCGCCGGCAGGGCGGCAGGCGCTGCCTCGGGAGCGGCAGCGAGCGCTCGCTAATCCTCGCTGATCCTCGCGCCCGCTGACAGCCCTTCGCCCCGCGCACACCGGCATCACGCTGTCCCACAGCTACCAGCCTCACCAGCACAGCCGCGGCACAGGTGCCGTCCCGCTGCTCRGCCTCGCTGGGTCCCTGATCCCGAACCATCCCGTGCGGATACTGCTGCTCCAAGGTGACTCCAGCCCGCCCGGCATTACGGAAATACGAGGCTCTGCAGCACATCCTGCGCTTTGCAAGGGGCTGGATCGCAGCTCGACGCCGCTGACCTCGTCTATCCAGCCCTGCTCGATTCGCATTGCGCTTAAGTAATGCAAGAACAAACCACTAACTTCCAGGAACTGACTGTTCAATCAGGTGCAGGAGCTGGGAGCCCGCTGGGCTCCCTCTGGGCCAAACCTGCACACTGAAACCAACGGTTATTAAGCAGTCCCTATATCCCAGGGGAGAATTAATTGCCGTGTCAATGTCTAAACCACCCTGGTTTGGGACATCACTTTTCCCTGCGCTTTGCAAACAGTATTGGCTCTGGGCAGGCTCTTCTCCTTGGTGACAGGGAGATGGCAGAGCTGGTGCCCGCCTGGGTAATATGCGACCTCAACCTCCCTCTTCTTAAAATAATTTTCCTTTAGAAACAGGATTTATAAAAAGCTTTAAAATAACAGAAGAATTAAACCATGCTCTTACATTTTCTTCTGAATTCACCCTCTCTGGCAGTTTAACCGGTACTTTGGTTAACCTCACGTCTCTGCTCTATACCTACCTTCCACATTCAGTTTGCTCTAGAGGTGAGGCACAAATCTGGCCTTCCTCAAAGTGCATCCATTCAAAGCGAACTCGAAAACCTGCGGTATCTTCTAAGAAAGCTAACTTGGCAAGAAAAGCCCATGGGAGAGACCTGGATAAGAAACTACGACGTATTTAAGCGGCACTCGTTACTCCTGATTTAAAAATCTTTCAGCACCACATGAGCAGCTGCAGAACAGCAATTCCCATGAACTGCAGAACTCTAAGAAAAGGGGTTAGAAAGGAAGGAAGGAGGGGAGAAGCAAATGGAGAAGCGGCTCCTSGAGCGAGTCAGTGGGAGGGCAGCGTTTCTGGGCTCCGGGGCTCCTGACTCATTCCCAAGGCGCGAGCGCAAGGGGCCTGCAGCACCTGAACTCCGCGTCCTTATCCATTCAAGCCCTCTGGAATGTCCCCCGCACAACTGCCATCTTAGCAGGAGCTCCTGGGAGAGGCCTTCAATAGGCCAAGCTTCTTCTAGCTTTCAATTCAGCAAGCTCCWCTGCCGGACAGAGGAGACAAGCACCTGCACCAGACCTTCCCGGCCCTTTCTGAACAACCCAAACCCYCATCTGCCTCAAGTTCTGCATGCCAGCTACAAAATCAGCTTGTCAGAGGAAATGATTAAGGCAGGGTATGTTAATACCTGTAAATGGGGTCCATGAAAAAGGGTGATGGCTTGGCATAATGCAGGGATGGTTGCTGCGGCAGCTGAGACTGAGAAATCTTGGGGAGGACTTCATTGGCCATTAGTTTCCTCTCCCCATAAACGTGGTTTTTCCGGGGCTCTCTTCCTCCGTTCTGGCTGGCTCGGATGCGGTTGCCRATGCTCAGATCCAGCGGCTGCTCCTCCCCTGAGGCCGGGGCTGGCAGGACCTTAGGTGGTGGCAGGATTGGCTTAATCTCTTTTGGCTTTGTGGTGAGATCGAAGGGGGACTCTGAGCTGGTGCTGCCTACTTTGTGGAGGTCCCTGGGTGACTTTGGTTCGGCCTTGACCAGCAAGTTGTGATTGAGGGTCCGCTCCGTAAACGGATAGAGGGAATGGGGAAAATTGGGGAGGAACTGAAAGGGGAACATGGAATGATAGGGGAGCGAACCCATCTTCTTCTCCTGCATCCCCATAAAGCCAGGCCCAAAGTACTTCTCTGCGATGGAGGCAATCGCTTTGATAGAGTCATTGGCTGCGCCCGTGGTGGGCAGCAGGTGCTCCTCGGGCGGAGGAAAGAAGGAGTGCTGGGAGTAGAAGAGCGGGATCTCRCTGGCGTTGTTAGTGGAGCTCGCGGACACGGAACTGCTGACAAAATCTGCCTTGCTCTCCATCTGCTTGCTCTTCTCCTTGGCTTTGTCCCTGTCGCTCTCAGCATCACTGTCCAGGTCAGAGCCGGTGCCCGTAGTGGTATCCAGATCTGTGCCCGTGGTTGTGTTGACATCCTCAAAGTCACTGCCATCTGACATGTCACTGTTCCTGGCTTTTAGCTTCTCCAGGTAGGAGCTTTCCAGGCTGCTTTCACACTTCTCCTCTCCTGGAGTGGCCTGGTTGCTGTTGCTCACTGCAGAAATCAGAGGAAGSGCCGGGTTCCCAAGGGGGCTCGGGAGCTTTGCGTCTTGAGTGTGGTTGAGGGGACTTTTGAGCAGCTGCGTTGGTGGCAACAAGGGGGGCCTGGGGTACAGAGAGGGTGGGAAAATGCCTGGGAATCCTGGAGCGAGGGCAGGGAACGCTGGGGGAGCAGGGGTGAATGGAAGAGCCCCAGGGTGCGGACGGGACGGAAAGTAATCATTAAATCCCAGGCTGGAGTGATTGAGGTTGGGAGAGGGCTTGGATTTGTCCATCATGGAGGTGGGCGTTAGGGGCAGGCCGGGGGCAAAAATGCCCCCTGGATTGTAATGGTTCTTGCCCTCGCAGAAGCGCCGGTGCTTGTTGAGAGAAGAGGTAGTGCTGAACATCTGGCCACAGTCCTTGCATTTGATCTGCGTGCGACAGTCCGCGTGCATCCGCTTGTGGCGGCACAGGTTGGAGAACTGCGTGTAGGATTTGTGACAGACCTCACCTAAAGCATCAACAGAAACCAACAACAAAAGCGATATGAAATTAACAGGAAATTGCACAGAAGCAACGAGGGGCTTCGCGGGTGCCCTTCTCTCCCCGCACCCCTTCGAGCCTGCCTCCAGCTCCGGCCAAAAGGACAGACGACAGGGAGCAAAGCAGGCCAAGGCCTTTGCTGGACCGGCTTCCATGTCCTGGAGCTTCCCCCCAGGATGCTGGAGTGATGCTTGGGGAGCAGGCTGGGGCCCCRGGAGCAGCTGGCACCAAGGAATGATGCATTGGGTCCTGGCGCTACCCAGCTGGCATGGGTGGCATTCACAGRGCCTGCCCCTAGCAATAACACCACATTTCCCTTTCAAATTAACCTCGAGCCAGAGAATCTCTCTATGGTGCRACATAACGTGCTACTCCTGTTCAAACTACTTTTAGGATTTTTAAATAACCCTGCATTTCAATGATACTATCTATATTAGCTAGTCTGCTCTCCCTCTAGTCTTGGCATAGCTGGAGGTACTGAAGGCTGAAGGGAGAAGAACTCTGCTTCACTTCATCAAATCCCCCCTTTCTTTAATGCCATTAATAGTAAGTAACCGCTCCATAGGGATGTTCTATAAATACCTCAGCAGCCAGGGCTCAGCTCAGCTACAAGTGGGGTGAGATTTTGTATTCGTTAAATTAGTAAGACACCTCCGTGATGTTTAGTTAATGCTCCATCAGCAYTTTCGCTAATGACCTCTAAATACCAAGCTTTCAAAATGTTACTCATTACAACCTTTTTCACTTACAGACTTTATAGGCTGGAAGGAGCAGAGCAAAGCAAGAAAAAAAAATCCCACCCAAACTTTTCCATAAGCCAAAACACTGTAACTTTTTATTATCTGATGCCTCTTTCAACATAGGAATAAACTCTACTTCTCAACAAATTAACACTTACACTTCTTTCATGGGAGAATTGTTGTTATCACCATGGAAAACATGGAAACAGAGACAAAGAGAGGGAAAGTGAATTGTTGGGAGGCAGAGAGCAGAGCCGTGCTCAGCAAGGAGCCAAATCCAAAATCTCCCAGCACCAGCCCTGACTTAATGATGAACTGCTCCTTCCTTCCTTCCTTCCTTCCTKCCTGCCTKCCTKCCTGCCTGCCTGCCTKCCTKCCTCCGTTTCTCCCTCCCAGTTTCTATTGATGGGTACATGTAAGGCCAAATTTCTTATCTTTATATCCCCTACATCTTTAGGATTTACAGCAGTAATGAAGTATTAAAAGACAGTCAAGAGACTATTTCCCAGGCCGCTCTGGAAACCTGAGGGGGAAGCCCTTTCCCTGCAACTCCAAGTGCAGATGAGGAAAGTTCAGCGACGTCGGCAACTCTGTGCCTGTGGTTCTCTGTTCTGTGCGCCTTCAGCACTGCAGCTGAAGACATTACACCCTCCCCATGCAGCAAACCCTGCTGAGAAGACATGGAGAACACAAGCACCATCTCCAGAGGGAATTGGGTTCCCTTTTCCACTCTGCATYCCTGCAGAGAGGCTGCAGCATCCATGTGGATCCACAGCACCCAGTTCCCAAGGAAGYGTTACAGGTAGCAGTGCTCGCCTCGCCGCTCTAAAGCAAGAGGATCTTTCCTTTGTTTAAAACTCCACACAGTTATGCAAAGCCTTAGCAACTCTGCGTGTAACATCCTCTCCTGCCGTTCTGGGTTCTGCACATACAAAGACACAGCTCTGGGGTTCTTTGAACCCAGGTATAACATGTTTCTGAAACCTTTTTTCCCCGAGCAGGAAAGCCCAGCTTTGGAGCAGAGCCCTGCCTCCGGCACCCCTAAGCTGCTAATGGGTTCCATATTAACACACGTGCGTGTGCGTGGTACGGAGCGGAGCGCCCGGGCACCATCGGCCTCCAGCCGCTTTACACGCTGATTCAGACTGACAACTCCCTAATTCTTATGAGGTGAGAGTGAGGAGATTATGAGGAGAAATCATTCATTTCGCTGCAGCAATGCTATGAGATTCAAATGATCTCTTTCATGTGCCCGTCATCRAATGAAGGATTGCATCAAAATGAGCAATAAGAGTATTTTTTCTTCCTCTGCTGACACCCATCTGATTATCTCAGAACACGTTAATGAAATGAGTCTCCCAGGATACTCCCGCATGCTGTTCCCATTATCCCGACGGGCAAAAGGGGGTTCGGTGGCTTCCCCAGCATAACATCAAAGCCCAGAATCAAATGCAGACCCGGTGCTCTGCTTTAACTATGCTTTTTGAAGAGTGTCGTGAGCAGTCCCTAAAGTTTCTCCAGCTTTGTTGTGACACAGTCCACTTTTCTGTGCGGTTATCAAACCCCCGATAGCCGCTGTGTCAATTAAAAAAATATACAGCGTGGGGAATGACAAGAAATGAGATGAAGGGCTCTCCAGGGATGTTGCTCATTTGGAAATGTCCACTGGAGAGAGCACTAAGGACACAGCTAATCTGCTATTTATTGGCTTCCAAGCATTATCCAGATGAAACAGAGTAGTAAATAGAGAAAAAAACTCTTCTTAAAAAACACCTTCTTGCAGCCCCTCTGACTATTCAAACTTCTTTGCAACAGCTCCATGATTTGAGGCATCCCTGAAAAACATTTCAATCAGGCGGTGTCAGCTATTTATTTATGTCACCAATGTGAACATTCAGAAATTATTACGGAAAAAAAAAAGAGAAAGATATGAGAAAATGGCATCGCTAAGACTGCTGAGAGACTCAGCTTTTAACTTGTCAAGAAAGTCAGAAACTGCCATGAATGTTTACTGAAAAAACAGGGAGCATGCAAAAAAAAAAAAAAAAACCTGCTGCGGAATTTCATCCTGCGCTCTGACCTATGAAATTACAGCGGCTGCTGGCGGAGGGACGGCTCGGGCTGGGGGGCCCCCGCAGGATACGTGCAATTAGAGCGAAAGCCGGGCCCCGTGATGGCCGTGACAACTTACATATGAAAGGTTTGACAGTGCTGTGAATGTGCTTGTGCTGCTTGAGGCCGGACGAGGTGGCGAAGGTTTTGCCGCAGTCGGGGCAGGCGTGGGCGCGCGCGCCGACGTGCTGCGAGCGGATGTGCCGCTGCAGGTTGCTGGGGTCGGTGAACACCTGGAGGAGAGGACGCCGTGAGGGAGGGCAAACAAAGCGGCGCGGAGAAGCGGGCAGAGCCCTGTGCAGAGCTCGCCCCAGGGCCCTTCCCTGCCGCCACCGCGCTCGGGGAACACGCGGCGTCCCGGCCTCGCGCTGTCCCGGGGGCAGCCGTGCCCGGCTCGCCCCCTCGCTGTGCCCTTGCTCTACCTTCACGCAGTTTTCACATTCGAATCGCTTCCCGCTGTCATGGGACATCTGGTGGCGGATGAGGTTCGATTTCCAGTTGAAGGCCTTGGGACACTGGTCGCACTTGTACTCGCGCTCCTCGGTGTGAATCACCATGTGCTGCTCCAGGCTGCGGGGAGAGACGCGCTGAGCGGGGCCGAGGGGGCGGCGCGCCCCGCACCGCGGCCAACCCGGCTGCTGGGGGCTTTGTGGCTCCCTGTGCGGAACCTTCTGGTGCGGGGGGTTGTCACCTGTCCTACTGGAAACCTGACTCTTAGGAGGAGCAGAGGAGGACGGAAGAGTAGAGGCAATGTCACAGGAGCCCCAGGAGCCCCGGGGGTACAAGGAGCCCCCCCAAGGCTGGCACAAAGGAGCAGCCACCGCGCAGCACCGCGAGCCACCCAGCCCTGAGGCCGGCGACCTCCGCTGCACCTTAGTGGGCACTACACTCACTTTTATGTATATAAATAAATATATTCCTTTCATATATATATATATATATATATGCACACATAAAAGTATGCGCCTGTTAACTGTGATTTATGAGTTTATTTAGAGCAAAAATGGACAAACTAATAAGCTGTTTAGAGGCAAGTACCTACTGGGATTAACAAAACATTTATTTATTTAGTCAGCTGCTAAATGCTCAATCTCAGTTCCCCAGTGGCTCCCTTGATTTGATCTGCATTAACTTCTGAAAAATGGGACGGCCATCTTGGTGCTGGCGGGATTTATTCGCACGCGGCCGCGGGTTTCTCAGCCCCGGGAAGGCAGCGACCGGCGCGCAGGGGCATCGGGGAGCCCGCGGCTGCCCGGGCAGAGCAGCKAGCGCGACCGTCCCGCCCAGTGCAAGCCACCGCGTCGGCCAACGGCTGCGTGATGAATATTTAATGGGAGCAAAACAGGCCTTACAGCGGCGCCAGGCCCACAGCTTTTGCTCTGCTTATGCGCTATACGGGGTATAGGAGCACCAGCTCTCACTGCTTCATAGCAAACCTGGCTTGTCGTGTTTGCTTGCTTAAGGAGTTAACTCGGGGGAGCAAACGATGATGTGTGAACTCCAGCTTCTGGTAAAAAAGATAAAAATCTAGTCCTCACATTGTGGAGAAAACCTCGAAAACAGCTCAAATGTTAAAGATGCAGGAGGCAAATAAAAGGAAACCTAAAATGTTTAAAAAGGAAAAACAAAACCTATTTTTAAAGCTGGCTCCTGGTACTTGACCATCAGCATCTCACAGTGCAAACGGACCAGAAATCTCACAGATCTCTGTTTTGAAGATGCAATTGACACTACCATTTTCTACTTAAAAGATGAAAACTTTCAGCTAATGCTTAATGGGACAAATAGTTCTTCCTTTTTAAAAAAAATGAATTCTCATTTTGAGTGGTCTCACAATAACTGAATAATTATTGAAAATAAAAACACGATATGAACAGTAGCCTATTTCCTCTGCCCCAGCCCTGGAAAGGTGGGGACTTGGGAAGCGGGGCATTTTTTGCCACGTGAGCTGCAAAAGCCCTGGCCGCGCAGGGAGGAGGATGACTCTTCTGAGGGCGCTGGCCAGGCGCACGGCGCAGTCTTGGCCCGGAGCCGGAGCCGGCCCCGGCCCCGGCACGGAGCGGCGGGGCGGGCCCGGCGCTCGCCTCACCTGTACTTGTTGGGGAACATGCGCTCGCAGTCCTTGCACTCATAGACGTGGCCGTCCGCCAGCCCCTCCTGCTTGATGTCGTCGCCGAGCGCCTCGTAGAGCGAGCCGGCCGAGCCGCACGCATACTTCTTGTGCCGCCGCAGCTCCAGCTTGGACTGGAAGAGCTCGTCGCAGTCCTCGCAGCGGAACGTGTGCTCCTCTGCAACAGACACACAGGGCGGGCGCCACGCGCGGCCTCATTAGTCTGCCAATATTGGGCTTGCTGAGAACACCTAACACCCTTTTAGGTGAGGGTCTAAAAGGAAAAAAGTCAGCAAGGTGAGAGGAGAGAGAAACCAAGTCCCGGGGGCRGCTGAAGGAGCAAAACGGTTTCACTTTGAGCATCAAACTACCTCAGAGGGGCAGGAGAGCAGCAGCTCTCCCGGTCCRGCCCTGCTCCTGCGCCGGCTCCACCGAGACCTTGGGAGCCACAGGACGGGCTTGAGCGCCAGGGCTCGGCTAGCGGGTGCACAGCACCTTGCCCACTGCTTTGCTTATCTGCAGCAAAGCCTGCAGAAACACCGCAAGCTTCTCCTGCAAGGGGGCTGCGGGGAGGGCAAGGGCAGCCCCAGCACGGATATGGGGAATTGCCGCTGTCRGCTGTGCAAACCTGGGGAGCCTCCTCTGCAAGAGCAGCCCTTCCTGCGCTGCCCTCTGAGCCGCCTCGAGGGCACAAGCACAGCGACAAGTCAGGCAGGAGGAGTTCCACGCTGAGGACCGGGAAGCAAGGAAAGGGAGCCAGAGCCTTTGTTGTCGTGTGTGTTTTTTTAAAAGAGATCTAATGTGTATCATAAATTACTGCAGTCAAGGTCAAACAAATTAAAAAGAGGGCAGCTATTATTGAGTTTACAAGGCAGCATCCTGACCACAGAGCCAAGGCAAACAATGGGCTCGGGGCTGTAAATGTTCCAGGGAACAGGTCCTGTGAGGGAGCGCGGTGCACAGGGCTCCTGCAGCYGCGGCTGGCGCCGCCGCGGCCCGCCGCCGTCCCGCGCGCGGGTCCTGCCCTGGCACTGCTCGCCTGCCCTGTCCTGCCCTGGCGCTGCTCGCCCCGCGATGCCGCTTGCAGGCTAAAGCTCACAGCAAATGGAGCTGCGCAGGGGGAAGAGGGGAAATATTCCTGCCAGGAGCTGTGCCGAAGGTGAGGGCTGTGGCGGAGCTGAGCCTCCCTGGGCGAGCAGACGCGCGGCCTTCTCCCTGCTCAGCCCTTATCCGCGTGCCCAGAGCGTTCCCGGCATCCGCAGCCCCTCGCTGGACACGGGGCTTGGAGCGCCCTGCTGCCCCAGCCGCTGCACCGGTACCAGCAGCTCTCCTGCTCTGCCGGGTCCCGGTGTGTCCCACCGGCAGGGCTCCCTCTGCACAGATGCAGTAGCAACCTCTAACACAGGCAGGGTGGGACCCGGAGCCCGGCTCCTTCCCCAATTCCTCCGGGCGCCCGAAGCGCCCCGCGCTCTGCGAGCTGCGTCCCCAGCAGCGCAGGGAGCAGGGAGCAGGGAGCAGGGAGCAGGGAGCAGGGAGCGCCCGTCCGCTCCGCGCCAAGGCCAGCAGCCCCAAGCACGAGAGGCAGCACCTGCTCGACCGCAGTCCCGGGACCCGCTGGGCTTCTTGGCTCCAGGCACCCGCTGCCTGGAATTTCTGTTTGTTCAAGTTCTTTCTTTCAGCAAAAAACACCTAAAAATGCTGCCCTTCAGAAAAGGTTACTGCTTCAGCACCTCGCAGGGAGAATGGGATGAAAAGAAAAGAAAAATCCGCTAACARAAAAAATTGCTCCCTGTTCTCTATGTCTTGTTTGTCAAATCTATGGTTATATGTGTCTATCTTAAGTTCCATCAGTAACACTCAGGACAAAGCAGGAATGTAGCAGAAAAATAAATCAGTGCCTAATAGCTTTCAGGGAAACCAAGGGGAACACAATTATGTGGCATCTACATGCTAATCTACCAGGCTCGAGTCTCAAAGGAGTTCAAGAGCCCTACTCAAAATTCCTGCAGTGATAAGGGGTCTGCTGTGTTTGGCTGGGGCTGGATAAAAGATTTTTATGATAATTATCTTTGTGTGGAACAATTTTGCATTCTCTCTCTTGCTAATTCAGAGTCGAAAGGGGGTGYGAGGCAGCAGGAAGATAGCTTTACTGCAAGTAGAAAGTATTAAAAAGTCAAATATTTAATGCTGGCCTATTATCATCTAAAAGCAATTTGGTGGCAAAACCTCTAGACATAACCTGGAAGACAGATAAATGTTACAYGGTGACAAAGCTGCAGTGTTAGAGGTAATAGGGGGCACTTTCTGCTCATTCCAAAACCAGCAAATTACAAACAAATGCAAAGCAGTGGAAGTTTTCTTTCTGATTTCTCCTCAATATTAAAGCAGTTATGTGTTATTCTCATCATTTGAAAGCAGAAATTATTTGTATCTTCACTTCCGTGTGTGGTTCTCCAAACAACTACAAAGATCCTGGGCAAACACTGGAGAAATAATTGCAAATCTGACACCTTCTGAGGCTGCAGACCTTGCATGGCCCGAGCATCCCATCAACACACAGCCCTTCAGGGCCTCCAGCAGCCCTGATCCTCAAACTATCCATTTTAGACAAAGATTTTAGACTAAGTGCAAAAAAGTATCCTATATATCACCTTAGGGTTTCATTGCAAATCCAAATCTGCAAATTTTATTCAAGGACAGGTGAAAGACAATAAATGTATTTATTTTACACTCACATTAGGGTGTGTGGGTGAATTAATGCAACTGTCAGCAATTAATTAAGTAAAGCAATATTTGCAACAAGCACTTTACGAAGAACTGATAGGAGAGAGCATAGTAATAGCAGAAGAGCAGGGCTCGCGCGCCGCCGGCCCTGGCCTCACCTTCCACGCTGGGTGCCATGTTCCCGAGCGAATATCCTCCTTCCTTCACGAACGCCAACAGCTCCTCTCCTGGCTCAATCTCCTTAATAACCTTATAATAGATCTGGGGATCAGAAACACAAAGGGAGAGACACGTTAAGCACGCAGTGAGTGCCATTTTGCACTTTTACCCGTAAGTGGACGCGTGTCACCTAGGAGCGGGGCTGTCACTGCACTGGGGTGACAGGGGCTCCTGGGGGTGCCTCCTCCTGCCCCTGCTGTGTGCCAGCTTCGTGCAGCCTGAACATGCAAGGGGCGCTTGTGGCAACAGCTTCCCCCACCAACCACCCAAACCTTCCTCTTCTTTGCCCTCAGGGAAGCCCGAAGGCGGGTTGGAGCAAAGCTGGGTTAGATGAATGCRTTGCTGCTGCTGCCCCGGCCCAGCTTTCCTTCCTTGTAGAGCGACCCCAGACGTGGAACAGACTCTGTGCAAGTGCAGAGACCCAACAGTCCTGTTTTAGTCCCCGCAAGCACRCAGAATGGGGCGCACGCAGCGCCAAGGTGTCTCCTGCACCCGCACGATCTCTCCTGCTCATGGGGGCATCTTCTAGAAGTTGCAGGGAGGGAATCCCACACAACCTGAGGTGCCTGCGCCGCTGCCGGACCCCCTGGGTGAGAACGTGCACCCTGTGTGCATGAGGTAYGTGGGGCAACGCAAGAGGGTCCATTCACATAAACACCTTGTGTCGCGCTTGCTGCGGGCACTGCGGGACATGGACTTGACCGCGGTTCGCTGCCCACTTGCTGTGCTGCCTTGTGCTGCCTTGTGCTGCTCTGCACTGCATTGTGCAGCTCTGCTCTTCACTGCATTGTGCAGCTCTGCACTGTGTTGTGCTGCTTTGCACTGCTCTGCTCTACACCACGTTGTCTTGCACTGCTCTGCTCTGTGTTGCACTGCTCTGCTCTGCAGCGCGTTGCACTG